GGAAAATCTTTTAACTAAAAAAGCAGAAAAAAGAAAGCTCAACACTTAAGAAATTGTTAATGTAAGAAAGAGAAAGAATGGTATTCAATCATGTATTGTTAACTTAAATAATGAAATTGAACATTGTAGCTTTCAAGCAGACAAATCTGATTCCATGGATATGTTGGTTAAAGCCAATGATTTTAGTTGAAAAGTGAAAGAAAAGCAAACCCATAATGCACAGCTGGGTAATGCTAATGTAAAATTTGTTTTAAAAAGAGTCAGGTTTTAAAAAGAATTAGTTTGATTCATTCATTTAGTTTGTTAAACATTTTAAGTTGAAAGTATATTTATTCAAGTCATTTCAATTCTTAGAAGAAAATTTTATTTTTATTTCTGTAAAGTAGTTTGATTTTTTTCATATATATTTTTGTTCAAAATTTTTAACTTGGTTACTTTAATCATTCAAACAAAAGGTTCAAAAACAACAATTCTCGCATTAAAAAAAATTATAGTTGTTATTCAGAAACCTTTTCTATTTGAAAGTAGTTTCTAGGCTTCTCTATACGCGGGTTTTCTTTTTAATTTTATTTACTAACAACCCGTTTAACGGGTTGCTTACTGCTAGTATTCTTTAATAATTTAAATAAACATTTTGATGAAACAATAAACACTGATCAAAAGTAATTTGTTAATTTATTTAGTTTCGTGTAATGTAAAATTGTTAAAAAAATCCAAAGTTTTTTATTTTAAATGTAACTATGTTTCAAATAATTTCCTAACAGACTTTGAGTTTCATTTTTGTCAAGTTTTATTTTTATTACTTTATAATTTTAATTTATTGAGTTTGATTTTTTTTTATTTTTCTATGCTTAATTTAGCTTTTTTTTTTTTTAGCAAATTTTGAAACGCCTAATATTTCAAAACAGGCAAACAGCCATGGCCTTGTTAAAATATTTTATGCGTGGACAGACAGATTTTTTGCAAGGCCAAAATATGGCATGCAACCGCATGCACTTCCTAGGAAGTCTTGAATCATGACAAAAATAACAGTAATCTAATAATACTAGTAATGCATTTATATGTATATGCACACAGATACATATACACACTTATATTTATACACATCTTTTAATGTTGACTTCATTTATTTAGGAAGGAGTGAAATAAGTTGCTTTTAAAAACATTGTTTGACTGGAAAACCTTTAGGTCATAAGGGAGCAGGGTTTTAAAAAAAAACAATATTTTTTAAAAAACCCCTTAAATGGTTGTTTTTTTTTAGGTTTATGGTTTTTTTTTTTGATTTTTTAAAAACTGACCAAAATTCCACATTTTTCTTATTGTACAGTTATTTATTTTTCTGATGTTAAATTTCATAAACACACAGGACAGAACCAAATACCCTAAGCGCTTGGATGTACAGCACCATCATCAACTTTAGCACCGTCATAAAACCTAATGCTACCCTAATTTCAAGGGCTGTCCACCCAATGCTTTTCTGTTGTTAAATCACTTATAAAAATTAACAAGTGAACATTGCATTGTCATCAAGCTAGAGTTTATAAAATGTTTAAAGAAAATCATCAGGAAGTAATTCCAAATTCGACTGTAAGATTGGATGTAGTAGATTAACAGACAGAGATTAGAAGATAATAAAAGGATTGAGAAAATATATATAAAGCATTTCAATTGTGCTCTTTATAATATACTTGAAACTTTTGAATAAGATAGTAATATTTGACATAAACAGATAAACAAATCAGAAGTTAATAAAATATTTTAAAAATTAATATATTATTGTTTTCTTGTTCTTAATTTTATTTCTTCCTATATCTTAACTGCTTGGAAGTTGAAAGATAAGAAAAGCATTTTTTTATTAAGAAATAAGTTGCTGTTTTATTATATGCAATATTGCTTATAAAAAAAACATGTCTTCATAAATGTTTTTATTTTAAAATATTTATATTTGTTATTTGAAATCATTTTCTAAATAATTTTACTTGTGCAAGTTTTACTTGTCAAATGTATTAAAAATGATAGTCTGATTGATAAAAAAAATATTATTTTTTAATTCACATTCTAATTATCCAATTTTACCTTTTTGTAATCATAATTTAAATGATTCTATGTATTTATGTTAAAAATCGATTACTAAAAGTAAACTCAATGACACCAGATATATTTTGATTGATATATACACTATTTTTTTAATTGTTATTTTTCAAGTAATTTTTTTTTGGTCCTAAAACTTTCTTAATAAAATGAACACAGCTCGTTGATCTCATATTAATTAAAGTCTTAAATGTTTTTTAAAAGGTTTTTATTTAAAAGTCTTAACAATTATATGCTCAACTACAACTTTTTTATACTCAATCGCATAATTAAAAAATGAATTAATCTTTTTTTTTCTGGTCTGTAATATTTGCATAAAAAGTTAAATTATAAGATTAAATTTTAAATAATGATAATTAAAAATGTTGATTGTTTTTAATTGAAAATAACAGTATTCAATTTTTTTTAGTCTTTGGAAAGCACTAGAAGAATGCTGTTATTGGCAGAGGAAGTATGTTTTTTACTTTTTTCTGCTGAGTTTAAAGTAGAAAAGTTTCTCTAAAACTAGTTATGTCTTTTTCTAACTTTAAGAGTTACTTAATTGTGTTTTATATAGACCCAAGACACTGGTATAAAAACATTGGTTGCTTTAGATGAGCAAGGCGAGAAGTTGAATCGCATTGAAGAAAATTTAGATGATATTAATGCTGGTATGAAAGAAGCAGAAAAAAATTTAACTGGACTTGAAAAATTTTGCGGCCTTTGTGTTTGCTCCTGTAGAAAGTAAATTTTTTGTTTTTAGTTGACACATTTTACAAGGGCTGTGATGATGGTAGATGAATCTCCACCTTTTATACTTAACCCAATATTATGTTCTGGTGAAATGTTTAGTTATGCTAGGTAAATTCATAAACAAAAATTGTAATAACTATTAAAAAAATGCCAATAAAATTCAAGAAAAAATTTATTTGTCATTTTGAAACCAGTTTTTAGTTTTAATTTTGGTCCTTTTAACATTGTAGCGGTCTATACATGGGCCACATCATGCAATAAACAAAGAGGAGGGGGGGGAAGCAAAGTGAAATATTTATCTTGAATTTAAATGTTTTTGGGGTTTCAAAAAAACTTTTGTTGCCCCAACTTTGAAAATAAAATGTTTGTTTGAAAAAATACTGAAAAAATTGCAAAAATGTGATTAAAAAAATCTAACTTTTAATTATATGTTCCGAACTCACTCTTGCGCTTATCCTGTGCAACAGTAATTTGCTTGGCTACTTCTATTAAAGATAGACTATCAACAATATCAGCTTGTATATTTAGCACTGACAAAGAATTATATCTTTTTTGAGCCATAGTTGATCTGAACCATGTTTTTCCTATGTATTGAAAAGAGCTTTCTAATGTAGCCGATGAAGCTCCACTTGTTAACACGATTTGGATAATGATCCAAATATTCTGGATCATTGTGTAATTTTCTTTATTCATATTCTGAAGTGACTTACATATATCTTGAAAATCATAGAATTTTCAAAAATAGTCAGAATGTGAAGAAGCTCACTTTCTATTTAGTTCCAATTGAAATAACCATGAAAATCAGATTCTAAAACATAAGCTTCTTTAATAAATCTCTCTTATTAATGGCTTTTAAAAGCACTTCTTGAATGTTTAGAAACTTCTTGAATACTGGTTGTTTGAATCAATCTTCTATTGCATTAATAATTTTGTCAAGAGATTTAAAATATATGATATAATCATGTTTCTGGATAATAGGCATTGCTTATTTTTTCTTTATAACCAATGACATATTGAAAAACGGAATAATTTGACTTTTTTCATTTCCTCAACAAGGTAGATTTTTCAATTGATTTGATTGAATTTGCTGTTTTCTTAACCATTACAAAAAACAATGGAAGTCGTCATCATTTCTTATATTTTTTATATCAATCACTAAATATGCAGATTTTCTTCCACTGGTTGCAGACATTTTTGTCAATTGAGTGAATTTTGACAAGTTTTCAGTCTTAAAAGAGAGATAGATGCCAAAAAAGAAGTAAAAGTATTTCATCTACCTCTTGCTACCAAGAATTTTTGCTTTTGTCTCAAATTTTTCTTTCATACATTTGTCCCAAAGTTGCAAGAGTAATTCATACTTATCGATGACTCTCTTAATACATTCTGTCTGAGCAGTTCATCTTGTTGTGGAAGTGTCTTCAGCTTTTTGAATTGTTCAGTCTTGTTCTATCTTGATGTTCTCATTAATGTTTCCAAGCAAATGTTCTCATTTTGATGTAAACTTTGCAAGTATGCATTTTTCACTAATTGTTTCTTTGCTAAACCCATATGGTACATATGGTTTCCGCTTAAAAAAATATGTAATTGTCTTACTCATGTTGATCAGATTGTCAAATAGTAAAAAACTATTTGACAAAAACTAATTTTATTTAGATCATGGGTGTTTAAAAGATATAATCTTATAATATAATATACTATATATAATCACATGCGCCCATGTTTAAATCAAATGTTAAATAAAATGTTTTTTATACAGTAAATTGGCTTTGAATAGTTTTATCTTTTGTATTCAAAACTCATTTGCACAGACTTGAAAACAAGCATTTGTTTTTGAAAACAAGTTTTTGTTTTGCATATTGTAGTTATTTAATAACAACAATTCGCAAAACAAAAATTTAATATTTAATGTTACTATTACAATACTAAAAAATTATTTAATTAATTAAAAAAAAAAGTTATAGTTCTAAGTTGGGTAAAATAAATCACCACCGTTGATGGTTCAAGTAAGTAATGTTTTTTTTAACCAATGACTTTATACCATTAAACGCACATAGTTACCACTAAAACTAATACATACAATTGATTTTTTTGTGTGTATTTTGTGGAAAATATATAAAAGTGATTCTATTTATATAATAGTATTAAATTTTTTTATCAGCAAAAAAATCAACATTTGTGTGTGTGTTTGTATGTATGTATGTATGTATATATATATATATATATATATATATATATATATATATATATATATATATATATATATATATATATATATACATATATATATATATATATATATATATATATATATATATATATATATATATATATATATATATATATATACATATATATATATATATATATATATATATATATATATATATATATATATATATATATATATATATATATATATATATATATATATATATATATAAAGTGATGTACACTCGGAATTTAGTCGGTTGTCTGGTGGGTGACTGAGAGTAATAATTTAGCTAATCTTGGTTGTCTGCCAATATTTTGAGTCGTTTGTTATCATTTTAAAAAGTTTTATTTATGTCTCAAACAAGTTTTTTAAAATGTGATTTTTCACTTGGAATAAAATTATTTTTCATGTGTTTTGCTTGTGTCTCGTTAAGAGATCCCAAGTCATAAAGACAGACTTTATGACTTGGGATCTCTTAATGAGGGTACAGCTCTAAAACTCAGTTTTATGCTTCTGATGTCAAGTTCTTTAACCAATTTTAAAATAAAATAAGTATCAAAATCTATAAAACACAAATAACCATCATCATCACCAAGTTCTCTAAATCTATCATTTATTATCATTGATACTTGTGGTCTTCAAAATAACCTTTCTTCTGTTAAGTCTTGTGGCTTGCAAAATTTACCAGACCTGTTTGCTTTTTGTGAGACTAATTTAAGTTCAGCTGTCTCATCTTGTGATCTTAGTGTTAATGGTTATCTTCCTTTAACTCATAAAGATTTAAATAGTCACATGCTTGACCTGGGCATATACATTCTTAAAAATTTACCTAATTGTTGGGAAACTAGATTTGAGTTCACAGACCATTCTTTTATGTGCTTTTGCTTAGCACCCCTTCACTCTATCACCTTTCTTTTTCAAAAGGCCCACAACTTTTGCCTTTCTCAATCTCTAACACAAACATTCAACTTTCAAACTCGCTTTCCAGACAATTCGAATCATTTACTTTTCTCTACTCCACTTATGTCTTGTTTCTGATCCTAGTCAGTGCTCAGTTTCTCTACATTCACCCTTAGGTGCTTCTGATTATGGTTTGATCTCTATAAAACTTTATATATATCCCATTCTTCTTCATCATCAGAATTTCCTATCATCATACCTCATACAACTACCTTAAAGCTGGCTGGGATTCTTTCCGTGATTTTCTTTGTGATGACCCTTAGGTAGAAATCTTTTCTCTTCCTGCTGATAAATGTGCTTTTTATGTAACTTCTTGGATTCAGGCTTGATTTATCTTTTATTCCCTCAGCGATTCCAAGTCAAACCTCACTTTTCCTTGGTTTTCTTCTCGTTGTGTGATGCAATCTAGGGCTCAAATTAAATGATCACGAATTGCAATATCTGGAAACACTTCCAGTCTTAAAGTTTTTAGCTTTTTAAAAATTGTAAACAGTTTTGATTACTAAACACAATTTTAATGTTTCCTGTGATGGGCAAATAGCTTTAGCATAATTTTTTATTGGTTGATTTTTAAATTACAGTACAGCACATTTTTCATTATTGTTTTCTTATAACTTTTTTTTAATTTAATAATCATTATTGTTTTCTTATAACTTTTTTTTAATTTATTATCCTTAAATTAACTAGTGTTTAAAAAAGTAGTAAATTTATTTTGTTTTTTTATTAATTTTTCCAATATGATAAATTGACCATTTCATCAAAACAGTGTTCACAATTTTTAAATAAACCGAGAATTTAAAGACCAAAAGTATTACTAGATATTGCAATTTGTGATCACTTAATTTGACCCTTTCAATTGTAACCATTACTTCCATATTTATTGCCAAAACATATCTCCAGAAAACAGACTTCACTATTGTTCTACTAATGTTCACTACTGCTTGAGACCACTGTAAAAAGGTTTTGTCTAACGCCAGAGTCTGCTATTCTCAGGTCACAAAACCTCATATTTCTTTTCAAGAGTTAGGCTCCAGAGACTTCTGGAAAATCTTTAATATAATAATCTGTTCACCTAATGGCAAAGATGAATTGTTTGGTAAAAACTTTTCATCAATCTCATCTCTTGACTATCACATCCTACCTAATATAACTGACAAACAGGTTGATCCATTGCATGACATTCGTATTACTCCAGCTTCTGTATCTAAAGTGATTTCCTGCTAACACTCTTCTACAGCTTGTTGTCTAGACAACATACTTGTTATTGTCTTTCAGAAGTGTTCTCCGGAGCTGTCGTCTATACTTTTTAAACTATTTAACAAGTGCTAAGTCTTGTTTTCCAGCCTGCTGGAAATCAGCATCTGTTATCCCTATTTTCAAAAATTCTGGAGAGCAATTTGACTTGTCTAACTACTGTTCCATTAGTCTTTTTCCTATTATAAGCAAGGTTTTTCAGTCTTTAATTAACAAACACAAAATTTCTCATCTTAAATCTAATAACGTTCTGATCATTAATATGGATTTCATTCTTCTCGTTCTTCTGCTGATTTGTTAAAGGTAATAACTGATAGGTTAACGCTATCACTTTCAACGTTTTTAAAGCCTTTGATAAAGTTTGGCATGCTGTTTTTTTCCATAAGTTTTTTTCCTCCATTCTTATGGTGTATCAGGTAACATCTTTAAAATTATTGAATCCTACCTTACTAATCGTTGTATAAAAGTTCTCCTTGATGAACAGCAATCTTCTTCATTTCATGTAACTTCAGGGGTTCTTTAAGGTTCAATTCTTAGCCCTATACTTTTTTTAATTTACATTACAATCTCCTCAAAATTTTCATATCTAAGGTGGCATTGTTTACTGATGATACTATCATTTACTCTTGTCTTGATAAGAAACCAACACTCTCTGATTGCTCAGAAGGGGACATTTGAGCTTGAAAAGGATCTCACTTTTGCTACATCATGGGGCTCTCAGTGGCTGGTGAACTCAGATAAAACTCAATTTGAAAGGTTGCATTTCTTTATTATGCTTGCCACTTTCTTTCTCCAGATTCTATTATCTAGTCTTTAAATCTCTTATCAATCCTTGTATGGAGTTGCCATATCTGGAGCGGATCTTTTAATGACGCCTATTCTCTTTTAGACAAGGTGCAAGAACGCCTTGTAAACATAATTGGAACTGCTCTTGCAGCTAACCTTTAAACCATTGTCATAATGTTGCTTCACTTTCTCTTTTTTATAAATACTATAACATGTAGTGCTCTAAAGAGTTAGTGTCTCTTGTGCCATCTACTAAAATTGACTCTAGTGTTACTTATCACATTTCAGCAATAAGTCTTTATTGTGTCTTTATCACTGTCAGAGCATGTGAATGCACTTTCCATTGTTTATCAATGTAATGCACAGTAACTCTGAGGTAATTATGGTTGCCCAGGGACATTTAGAAGTCTCCGGTGAAGACAACAGTTTGTACACGTTATAATGCTGTTACTTTTCTAGTCCTCTCCTTTTTATACAATTCATCTATTTTTCTTGCGATGGTGTGTCTTGGTGGTGGCCCTTATTTGCAGTCATTTTTCATTCAGACCCACATCTTCTGTAATATTAATGGGTCTGCAGTTTCTAGCTACCCAATTGGCAATAGCATTTGTTATCTTGTTTTTCTCATCTTTCTCTATGCAGCGGTGTACACTCCAGTTTTTTCCCAGTCACCCTGCAGGCGACTGAAACAGTTTTTATTCCTCATTTGAGTTGCCCGCTATGATAATCAGTAGTCTGGTGTAAAGGGTTTTTTTTTTGTATTTTTTCTCGGGTGAAACTAATGATTTTTTTTTTTTAATTTTAGTTTGATGCAAAACCGTGTACTTCGTTTTCAAGGAGCAAGTTGTTATAAGTTTGTTAGTAAAAAAATCTATAAAAAAACAAAACAATAAACTTATGACTACAAAGTTAATAACACTCACTAACTGCATATAAGTAATATAACTATAATAGTGATATTACTTTTACAAAGCACTTATAACTTTTATAGTTCATTCTTTGTTCCAGCAACATCAGTAATTCCAAACTTAAAGTAGAAAAACATCTAGAAAAAATAAAGTGTATATTCAAATATTATTTAAAACTTCATGAACTTTTACACATACGCTTCAACAACTTTATAAAAACGTACTTTATAAAAAGTCTACCATTATGAAAAACATTGCTAATAGTCCGTAAAAATGTGTGTTAATTTTAAAATCAACCAATAAAAAGTTTTAATTAGTTGATTTCAAAATTAATGCGTGTTTTTACAGACCATTAGTAATGTTTTTCATAATGGTAGACTTTTTATACAGTATGTCTTTATAAAGTTGTTTAAGTTCCTTAATAAGTTTATAAATATTTGAATATTCACTATTTTTGTAGATGCTTTTCTACTTCAATCAAAATTTGAGATTACTTATGTTGCTTGAATAAAGAATGAATTATAAAAGTAATAACACTATTATAGTGTTATTATTTTTATAATGCAGTTAGTGACTAGAGTGTTATTACTTTTGTAATTGTAAGTTTATTGTTTTTTTTTTATAACTTTTTCAATAACAAATTTAAGTTGATTCGCTCCTTAAAATACAAATTACATGGTTTTGCATAATCTAAAATTTTGACAACCAGATATTTTTTCTCACCCAGATATTTTTCCGGATTTTACATTTCACAATTGCTTAATTCAACTTTAAATGCTTTTTAAAATTTTCTTTTAAATAGTTGCAAGGAAAAAAATGTTTATAGATAAAAAAGTATTTTTTATTAATAAACACACTTTTATAAGTAACAAACTGTCTGGTAGTCATGCATGCCTTCTGTGAGGCATTTTTTAAAAATTTCAGTCACCCTTGTAGAAAAATAGTTGTCCCGGGCCACCAGATGACCATGAGGGTTAACACCTGCTATAGTTCTTCTATGTTCTGTATCTAATTAAATTGTAGTAAATATATCAACAACTTGTAAAAACTTATCAAATTATGAAGCTTATCAAAAATATCAAACTCATTATCAAGTGCCAGAAAATAGGTTCAAACAAGACATTACAACAAGATGGAATAGTCAATATTTTATGTAAAAAAGAATTTTTGAACAGAAGTGTGCTTTGATCCTATTTTGTTGTGACAATGACAACTCTAAACTAAAGTCACTGGAAAATAATGAAAGATTATTTTAGAAAATAATCTACTACAATTTTTAAAAATGTTTAATGATATAACAAGTTTGTTAAGTGAGCGTGAAGTAATTGTATCTGCTATAATTCTAACTGTACAAGTTATAAAAACCATGCTTGTTCAAGCTGAAAAGTCTCCCTTGTTTTTAAGATAAGGGACAACTTTAAAAGAATGTAAAAAATCAGCGAATGAAAGATTTGAAAAATATCTCAATGACATAAATCTCATTTTAGCCACATTTTTAGATCCAAGGTATAAAAATAATTATTTTCCAAATGAAGAAGCTGATTGTTGTTTTGAAAATATTATTAAATGGCTTGTAGATTGCTCAAAAAGTCTTCAACAAAAAGATCATTTCAACCTGAGGTCAGTTTATAATCAAGTACAATAAATTTAGATTTCGATTTTTCAAAATGCTTTAAACATTTTATTAAAAATAAAAACACTTTAATCAAAAACACATCAATATCTGAAGTTCTGCAAGAAACAGAAAGCAAACATAATCTAGAATTAAAAAATGAAGTTTTAATTTATTTGAGCCAAGACAAGGTAGTCTTATAGTAAGGTGGGGAGAAAATAGAAATAACTTCAAGCAATAAGCTCTAATAGCTCAGAAGTATTTATCATGCTCTCCATCTTCTGTTCAAAGTGAATGGTTGTTTAGTTGTGGAGGACAAGTTTATTCTTCACAACAAAATAGGTTAACTTTGGAAACAGGAGAAATGTTTATATTTTAACAATACAATATTTCTATACACAATTTTAAATGCTAAACATTGTTACAACTGCTATTGGTGCTTTCTTTAGATCTTAAAGTTATTTTTTTTTTGGTATTTGATTTTCAAGTCTCTTTATTTTATTTTGAGAAAATCTATTTATTTATAAAGGTTTTTTTTTTATTTGTTTTTTATAAAGAGATTTTTAAGTAAACTGAGAAATTCTAAGATAACTGCTTATCTTAATACCATTTTCTTTTTTAAATTGAAATAGAAAGCGTTCTTCTAAAATTGTATTTAATTTTTGAAAGTTTTCATCGATAAATAAAATAAAAAATGTATATTATTTTAACTAAGTTTTTATAATAACTTTTAAAATAAAGCTTTCGCTTTGATTTAGGTCTAAATAATTGTTTACAAGTTCTTATTCCATAAATAAGTTTACACGATTTAAAATTGTATGGTTTTATATTTTCAAAATTTTTTTAATAATTAGTTAATCTATCAGTATCAGTAATGGTATCAGCCTTTTCCTATTCATCGGTGTTGGCATCAGCCAAAAATGTGCAATTGGTGCATCATTAATATATATATATATATATATATATATATATATATATATATATATATATATATATATATATATATATATATATATATATGTGTATATATATATATATATATATATATATTTATATATATATATATATATACATACATACATACATACATACATACATACATACATACATACATACATACACACACACACACACACACACACTTCAAGCGTATTTTTATAAGCATTTGCGCACTTTTTTTGCTTACCTTAATCCATACTGCTTTTTTAGAAAAAGAAGAAAAAAAGTGAAGAATGATGAATGAAATGATTGCTGCCCCATTCCAAACCCTCAGTCGATGTAGCAGCACTCCACTGCGAGTCAGGCTATTTGTCAGTCAATGTATGTACTGAAGCCCCCAGCAGCAGGCTATTTCAGTATGACGTCAGATTGCTTACCTTAGTACACAATACTATTTGTGTGTATATATATATATATATATATATATATATATATATATATATATATATATATATATATATATATATATATATATATATATATATAAAAATTATATGTTATCCCTTTAAAGGTGGGGTGGGTTCGAGAAGCTTAATAAATAAGTTTTATTTTTTATTTTCTAAAGGCGTGCTGATTTTGAAACTTCAGAGGTTTATAGAAAAGCTTATTCAAGAAAAGAACCACCAAATTCAGCTGGAGTTGCTTTACAAACTAAAGATAAAGTTCCGAACAATGGAGCAGCTACAAGTGGATACATATCACGGTAAAAAAAAATTTTATTGTTGTTTTTTTCATTTTTAGTGTCAAATAAAACCAGAAAAAGTGTTTAAATATTGTAATAATTTGATGATAAACATTAATGTGTGTATAATAAGTGGAATAAGTGTATCTTGTGGAATACAGACAAAAGCATTTTCTAGCATACGCTTTGAAATGCCTCTGCTAGATTTTTTTTTTTTTTAGGGAGTTAAAAAGTAGATAAAAATGTTTTTTGGTGAACTACAAGAAAGTTTTACTTTGTTTTACAATAACAAAAAAGTTTTACTTTGTTTAATGAAAATTCTCATCAATAAGTAGTTAATAATAAATAATAATAAATAAATAAATATATATAGTAAATAATAAATAGTGGAAACTAAGATAATATATCCAAAAAATGTGTAGACAGCATGTCCTAATTGAAGCTTAAAAAACTATATATATATATATATATATATATATATATATATATATATATATATATATATATATATATATATATATATATATATACAGTGAAGAACCCAGCGTTTATTTGGGAATACCGTTTTTTTTTCAGCAACATTGAGGGGGAGGGGGGATTATGTTTTTGATTTACCCCTCCCCCTCATTCTCCTCTAGTTAAACGGGTACTGCAACAATAATTTTTAATCATCATTTTCTTAATAATCATTTATGTTTATCTTGTTCAGTTTTATCCTGTAATAAGGTGTTGATTTAAAGGCATTTTTTGAATACATGAATTTAATGGTCGATAATGTTACTTGAGCTAAAAGAAAACTATTTTACTTTAGATTTTGATAAACGCTTTTGTTGCATATACCACGCTCTCAGTAATTAGTTATTGAAAATTGTTTAAAGTATTTTAAACAGTTATTAACTATATTATAGTAAATTTAATTTAAAATAATAATTAAAAATATTTTAAACAATTTTTAATCAATATTTACACCATAGTCATAAGAATAAATGACTTTTTATGACCATGATTTTCACTACATAATGTATTTACATATATCGCGTAATAATTGTAAAATCAACAAAATAGTTTAACATCTTGTATTTCAATTAAAAACGTAAGCATTTAATAAACAAATTCGATAAGCATTTAATAAACGCATTTAATAAATTATTCGAATAAAAACATTAGCAATTAATAAACTTAGTTTCTATTATTTTAAATTTTAAATTTTAATTGAAATATTAGTAAATCTGTTCATTTAACTTTTACCAAAGGTTATAATTTTTTAAGTGATTTTAAGGCGCCTTTTAAATTAAAGATAATTAAAGAGATAATAGTAAACATAATTTTAAAAACATTCTATTTTTTTGATTAAAAACCATATTATATTTTTAAAAACATATATTTAAAATATATATATTTTTTAAATTATTAAGAATAATTTTAAAAATTACATTTGAATAAATAAATTACATTTACTATGGGTTATTTTAAACAGATCTACATAAAACTTTTATTAAGTTATTGAAATCTTTTTTTTTTATTGTTTGAAAAAGAATATTGGGAGGAAAAAATACTGTCTGAAAAAGTTTATACTTCGTTTTTTCCTTTTCCTCACGTAAACTAAAATAGCAAGCTAAAGATCAATAGTTGATTATTTAAAAATTAAACTTACACGATAGTTACGAGGATAGTTACAAATTTGCGCGATAGTTACAAGTTATTTTTTACTTTAGTTTATTTATTATTTAAAGCAGTTTACTCTTAATTGCCAAAAACAAAAATTAACCTTTCGCTGAATGGATATTTAAAATCACTTTAACTTTCAAAAAAGCAAATCTCTTATACTTTCCATTGATATAAAGTTTTGCAACGTGGTTTTAAAATTAAGTTTTGTAACGACTTAGATTTTTTCAAAAGTTAGCTAAATTAAACTGAGAATTATTTACATACTACTGCATTTAAAACTTTTTTTTTTACTTTTTTTCATAAAAAAGAAAAATTAAAAATAAAAATAATTTTTGGGCGCTTTTTTTTGGAGCGCCCATACTGGTAAAACGGTACTAAAACACGTCTGGGTTCTTCACTGATATATATGTGTGCACCTTAATTAGAAAATACACTGAAAGGCTTGAATGGTATAAGAAATCTGAATGTGATGACATATGTATCATGCAAAAACATACAACAAAAAGATATGACCAGCAGTATTTAAAAAAAAAAAATTGGACAGTTGCAGGAATCAAACCATGGACGTTCTGTTTATGAAGTTAATGTCTTATCCAAATAAGCTAAATGTTTGTATACTTTGTTACAAATAAATACTATTATATAAAACACAAAGTTATACATAAAAATATGTGCGTGCATTACATAGATGATAATTTATTATTATTTTTTTTTTTTCCATTCAAGTTTATTTGAATTTCCTCTTTTGTTAGTTTTGCTTTCTTTGTTTTTGAAACTTTTTTCTGCAACACCTAATGTAATAAAACTTGTAAATGGCTGTGACTAAGTTGTCTAAAGTAAAATACTCATGGGTGTACATACAAGACAAAAAAAAGCACGCGTTGCCTGGGAAGGCTTGACATTGCACACATTTGATGTTAAATATTTTGCAATTTTTTTAACATTTAGCAAACTAAAAAAAAATTGAACTTGAATTAAAAAATAACTGTAATAAAATTGTTGTTATTTTAAATTATTTTTATGTGTTTTAGTTATACAAGAGATAATATGATCAGTGATCATGATAATAGTGATAAAAAAGAAAAAAATCAAGGACCATTTGGACCTTATCTGAATACACTCTTACTGAGGATTCAATAATTATCTGGCAACACTCTTACTGAGGATTCAATAAAATTCTTTTCTTCAAAAATTAAATAAATATTAGTAATAAGCATCTGAATTTTTTGGGGTTCAACAGATCAACAGCAAGTGCCCCAAGATTAGAAAAGATCCCTAAGATACAGAAGAGAAATCACATTCAAGATCAACTGCGTGTTCTTAGATATCATTTCCCAGCAGACATTAGAACAAGATTCAGTATTTTTTTGAAATACTTTAAAATTAATGAAAAGAGTTTTGGAGATTTGCAAGACTGCAATGTTGTTGTATCTTGTCATTAGATTCAATCATGAGAGAAAATCATGAGAGATATTAGGTTTGCCTTTGTTAAAGATACTATTGAAGTTATTCCAAAAGTTTCTGGAACATCTGATTTTCTTGAATAATTAAACAATAAATAAATAATAGAATAAATTGAAACTGAGATTAAAAAAACTAATTGTAAATTTAATAAAAAAGAACTTATAAAAATTAAAAGAATTTATTAAAGAATTTATGAATAATTGAAAAAAAATTTAAATAAGAGTTTAAATACATTTTTTATTTTATTTTTTATTTAAACATAGTTATTTCTGAAATTGTCTTAAAATGATGTAAATTTATTTGTTGTTTAAAAAACACAATATAAAGTGCCAACGTATAATATTTTATCATAACATTAATAATGGTGTATTATTTTTATTATATTACAATATGTTGTTTATACATCAGGATTAGTTTGTTGAGGTATGCAAAATTCTATTTTAAGATAATGTAGATGTTATCTCTGATCAAATTGACCATGCCCTCTCTCTTTACCCTCTGCCAATATTGTTGTTGTTGGTGATTTTAATGCCCATCACACTAAATGGCTTGGCTCTAACACCACTGATCCTGCTGGCACTAAAGCCTTTAACTTTGTTAAAGGCTTTAGTGCCAGCAGGATCAGTGTTGTTCAGTTTGTCATAGCCATTATCAAGGAGGCATAAGCAAAATTCTATGAGTAGAATCAAGGAGATCCAGCATTCATCATCCTAGGCAGGAAACAATGTAACACAGGTTACATCTACGCCAGCCTAATAGATGAAGAAGGGGTTCGAGGCTGGTTAGCAGAACTTTTCTGCTTATCCCTAAAGTCTTTGCCTAGGAGGCCTTCTACAAGACAGTAGCTGGATGCAGTTAACATCTGCCCAAGATGAGTATTTTTATCGAGACACCATCTCTAGCCTTTACTCAACCAAGAGCCCCAAGGCAGGGGAATTTTTAGTCGGAGTTTATTTCTCCTAGCCTTTGCCTAAGAAGAGCACAATCTGCAAGGCAACAGGGCTTGTGGCAGGTGGTACTGGGTTACGTGATACCAGTAGCAAGATTGATCTCGATTATCCTGACCTGACCTGGAGTAGTTAAAAGGAGTTACTTCCCGCAACAGTATTTTGAGAAAACCAGGCATGACATTTTGGAAGTGCATTAGGAAAAACACTGCATCTGACAAAATACAGGAGTCTAAGGTGAGTGTAGGTTTTATATTTGGAGTAAGTAGTTAGTTACTGAGCTCACGCTGCATTAGAGTAAGTAAACAGAACACAAACAAACATAAATCAACTTATGGGTGAGTCAACACTGCGCCAGAGGTTCAGACAGAACACAAACATACATAAAAAACATAAAGTAACTTATGGGTGAGCAAACACCGCGCCAGAGGTTCAGACAGAACACAAACATACATAAAAAACATAAAGTAACTTACGGGTGAGCGAACACCGCGCCAGAGGTTCAGACAGAACACAAACATACATAAAAAAACATAAACATAAACATAAAGTAACTTACGGGTGAGCGAACACCGCGCCAGAGGTTCAGACAGAACACAAACATACATATAACGTAGATTACAGGTGAGCTAATACAGTAACTAAGGCACCTCCAACTATATGAAAAAAAAAAATTACTATAGGCGTGACTGATATAAGACAGTACTGATGACAGGAAGAACACTCCTTCCAGCCTTTGCTTCGAAAGCAAATCCTGCAAGGCAGCAGAACATGGAACAGGTTGCACTGGGTTACATGTTACCAGTAGCAGGATGATCATGAAGACCATACTCCTGACCTGACACTAATATTCTTTATATACTTCTTTCTATAGAACTTTCATACTTTTTAAATAAAAACTTTTCTTTGAATGATATTTTATTTTGAATGAAAATTTTAAAATCATTCAAATTTTCAATTTCGAAAAAACAAATTTTTCATACATTCTATTGTCTTCAAAATGTCACAAGAAGTTTTTATTGATTTTTTTTAACTAACTGACATTAAACGTTAATGAATTACAGCATGTAATTACTTTTAAACAATTCTATTGTTCTAAATTCAAAAAATAAACAGAAAGTTAGAAAAAAAATTCAAGGCAAAAAAATTTCAAGACCAAGGCCAAGATCAAGATCAAGGGACCTAATTTTTGGCCTTAAGGCAAGGCCAAGGACTAACAACTCTGATTAGGGTGTGTCATAAAAAAACAATTTTTGAAAATGTCTGATGATACCACCTAAATGTGTTTTTATGTAATAAATTAGTACTAAATTTAAAAAATTTTTAGGGTTCGCTCAAGACCCTTAAACATCAGATGGGTCTCTAATATTTTGAAAAAAAAAAGTTTTTTAAAAGCATATCACGTTAGATCTCAAAAGAACTGCAATTTTATAAAAATTTCAAAAATAAACAACAGCAAGGAGTTGATGAAATAATAACTCACTGTTGAATGGTAAAATTGAGTAGTCTCTTTTATATATAGATAATATCTTTTATATAACTTCCATATATAACGCAATGCAAAATATATTTAAAAACTGAAGTAAAAGATATTAAGCTCTTTTACGCACCAGTTTTCATTAAACTTAAATGTGCTACTTTGATTTTTTATTCAAATTAAAACACTGCGAGGGAAAACTTTTGATCTTTTTTGTTTTGTTTATTGTGAAAGTTTGCGTTATATAATTTATGAATGATCCCTAAGGTATTCTGAAGAATCATTATAAAAGACAATAAAGTTTTTGTTTTTGAATTTATGAATATTTGTATTATTGAGGAATTATTTTGATTAAATTTTTTATTCTTTTTATGTTGTTATTTTTTAGTTTCATGTATTAGTTAAAATGTACATAAAGAAAATTACTTTTAGTATCACAAATGATGCTCGAGAAGATGAGATGGATGAAAACATTGGGTAAAATTTTTTATTTATAATTGTTTGTTAATTCATTTTTTTTTTTTTTTTTTTTTTTTTTATGTTTTCAGTTCCTTCATATTGAGGATATTTTTTAGTGAATTAGTTAATTATTATATATTAATAGATAAAGAATGTATACAGCAGATGAAAAAAAAAAAGACTGTAAATAGTATTTTGGGTTTATCAAATTTTGGGGTTTGTGTTCTCTCCATCCATGTGAAGTACTCGCTCAGCTTAATGTTAATGAATTTTCTGGTTTTCTTACTATCTGATAATGCCATTTTTCTATTTTGAATCAATTATGAATCTGAATGATAAAAAAGCAGGATGAATAGTAAATAATTTTAAAATTAATTCATAATAGTTATTATCATATTTATAAGGTATATTTAAATATTAACTAGCTCTTATACACAAAACATTTTGAAAAATAAAAATCATTTTATACTAAAGTATAGGATTAAACTATATTATAAATAGTTATAGTTAGGTATGAGCAAAACTAGATATTCGGTCCGGTTTGTTAAAATTGGATTCGAATTTTAACAAACCAGACCGGATAACCAGTTTTGCTCATCCCTAGTTAAAACTTCCAAGTTGGAAGTTTTATCTAGGCAAAACCGGATATCTAGTATATGCCCTTGTTATTATGTGCATTTGTAACATAAAAAGTCAACATTAAGGAAAAAACACAATATTTTCAGAAATTAAACAGGTTTTCCTGGTAGCAAAAGTTGTTTTTTCACCAAAAAAAAAATTATACCATTCAACTCAGGTTTTATAAATACATAGAAAAAGTGGCTGAATCAAAACTAGAACATCCTATTCATCATCCATTCATCATCCATTCATCATCCCAAACTCTAATTTGCATGGCTAGTCATTCACTTAGGTTCATTCACTTTACTGAAACTGTTTTGGTGCTTTAGAACTCTATCTTATCTTCATGTTTTCTTGGCACTTTCAATTTGAGGTTTTTTAGGTCTTTTGTCAATTATTGTCTCTAGCTCTATTCTTTGTTTACTGTTAACTCCCAAATAAATTAGTGGTAGCTTGCAGCCTTGTTGACATGTTTAACAAATTATAGACAAGTAGTTTATAATATGTTGTTGAAGTATCTTGATTAGGCTTCAAGTTATCAACTAACAAAAAACATTACCATATATCTTAGAATAAAATCATTGACAATTAGGCCATAGTTGTTTAAATATAAAAAAAAGAAGCAGTACAGAAAATAGGTTTTATTCATTTTAAGTATAGTTTTTTTCATAGGTTTTGAAGTTGTGAGGATGTAGTTGTTGTCACTCTAATTGTTAAGTTTAGCCTGGATGTAGTTATTGTCGCTTTAATAGTTTAACCTGACTTGAAAGATTAAAAAAAGTTTTTAAATTTTTTATTTGTTAAAAAAATATTTTAATAATATGAGTTTAACTTTTTAATTTAAAAGCCAAGTTGCTGGTATCCTAACCAATCTAAAATCTATGGCCATTGACATGGGTGGGGAACTAGATAGACAAAATACGCAGATAACGAGACTTACTGACAAGGTAAATTAAATTATTTTTCAATTTTATTTATAAGTTTTGTTCAACATTTTTATTTTTCCTTTAAATAAAAATTAGTTTTTAATTAATAATTAAAAATTTTATAATAATAATAATATATTTAATAATTAATATTTTTAATGAATAATATTGAAATAATTATTATTAAATATATTATTGTTAAATAAAAAAGTAATATATTTTATAATATAATATTTAACTTTTTTTTATTTATTGTTATTTATTTATATTTGTTCGTTTAGGCAAGTGCAAACGAATCACGAATTGAAAATGCCAATAAAAGGGCAAACCAAATTTTACGAAATTAGCTTATTTTTTTGTCAGTTATAGGTCTTCTATAATAATACTATTTAATTAGAAACTTTTATTTTACATTATTATTTTCATCATTTTTACTATCATTATTGTTATTGCAGACCTGCGTGTTGTATAATTCAGGTTGTATAATTAGGGTTGAAGTAGTTCGAGCCGTAGAATTAGGGCTGAAAGGACGATGGTATAGTATTTTAAAATGGTACTTTTAGGGATAAAACTATACTAATTTGTGTCTTTGTTAAAATGATAAATAGCTTTGCGATTATTAACATTACACTTGCATGTGTCGCATTGTTCTTTTCTTTACACGCCTCATCAGACATTCTAACTTTTTAATACATCTCCTAAAGTTCCCATCATTCATCAAAGTAGTCAAGTTAAGTCAAATTTAAAGTTTTAGTATCACAGAACGCGTCCGATTATTATCAAACTTTTTTTAATTTATCGATTAAGACTATAAAATTACTTTTTACAAGTTGGTTGTGTGTAGATTAAGTATTGTAATTTAAGGTTTTTTTTATTAAAAGTTTATATATTGGGATTTTATATATTATGTATATTTCTGTTACACGTTCGGTATTATATTACTGTTTTCAAATAGCTATATTGTTTTGCAATATTTTTTATAAAAGCAATATAATTTTATGCTTAATTTTATTTGTGTGCGAGTGAGTATCTAACTGTTTGATTGTAACTTATATGAAAATGCCTTTTCGTTATTCCATTATTTGATTTTTTCATTTGTTAACTGTTCATGTCGAATTAAGTTAAGATTCCCTTTTTTCTATCAACTTTTGTTTCGGCATTTTTTGCTTCAAGTTTTTTTTATGTTGTGGCAGTTAGATTGTAATACTTTAATAGGTTTTTTTAATTTACAAATTATTTTTAAAATGTTATATTATTTAAAAAAAAAAATGCATCAGTTAATAACGTATTTATTATGTGTACACTTCTCTTTTTTAGAGGTTTTCACTTAAAGTTGTTTTTACTTTTTTTAACCACTCCTTCACACGAAATAAAAACTTTTTGTGTGTGTGTGTGTTTGTATTTTTTGTTCGTCTTAAAATCCTAAATCACGTATTAAAGTGTCAGTTGACTTTATCAAAAGTATAAATATTTATTTATTAAATTAGAAACAATAGTTAGGGATCGTCCATAAAGTACGTAAGCTGGGAGGGGAAGAGGGGGTCTGCAAATGGCGTAAATGGGAGGGCAGTGGGTCAATTATAAAAGAAAGAAGACACTAAATTTAAAAAAATATCATAAAATGTTAGATAAATAGGTTAAAAACGTAGGTATTTTTAGGGAGGTGGAGGGTACTCAAAAAACCTAATAGCAAAATGTGGGGGGGAGGGCGGGTCATCGAAAAAAAAGCGTACGTACTTATGAACGACCCTTTATCGCATAAATATTTATTGAATTAAAAAAATATAGTTATTGCGTGCCTTAATAATATTCAAACAAAAAAAAAATTGTTGTAAAAAGCTGTTTCAAAATTGGAGGGTAGCCTCGGACATAAGTTAAGCCATAATTTTACCTCTTTTTTATCCGTGGCACAAATATAATATATAATTAATTAGCTGGGATGTCAACATATTCAAAAAAAATCGCCCTTAAAAATTGCCTCTATATATAATGAAAATATCATTTAAAAATATAAATATTAATTTTTTACTAATAAAAGTAAACACTTTTTTCAAATCTTAGGTCTTTTAATTGGAAATAAATAAAATACTATGGGTTTGTGTATTATTTATATAAAAAAGTTGCTCATTTCTAATATGTAAATTATCCAGAAATACCCTCTAAATATGTGTCCGATACCACCCGATCATAATTCATTCACAAATACTAGTTATAAAACAAGTGAATTAAAGTGCAGTGTATATATATATATTTCATGTTTTCTTTATTTTTTTGTTGATGTTAGTTTTTTTACTTAATTGAATTTTTAAAAATTTTCTTTTAATGAATAACTTTAAAATTTTCATATATATAGCATTGCATGACCGTAAGTTAACCTTCATGTTATTGAGATTAAATTGATTCCTTAACTTTTATAAAAAAATTTCTTAGAAAGCTATTTTACATTTTATATAAACTTATTTGAAACATTTTGCTTTTTTTTCTCACTTTTAATTTTTAATTTTAGTTACAACGTATTTATATAAATGCCTAGAAAAAAACTAGGGACTTAGTGATAAACAGGCCCACTAAGAGGGGGGTACAGGCGGTGCACTGCTCCAGGGCCCATAGAACAATTGGGGCCCATTAACCAAAGCTTTTTTTTAAAATAATTACAGTAATAATTACAAAAATTTATTAGTGACATACTTAAAAAACACATATTTTGCACATTTAGAAAAAGATATTCATACACTTAAAAAATGGGCATATTTTGGTCCCACTGAAAAATTCTGAAGAGAATCTAACTAGAATTCAACTAGATAAAGCGAAAATAAAGGGGAACACAGAGAAAAAAAGGAGAAACTTCTAGCTAGATTTATACAATCTAAATTCTAATTAGAGATTAAAGTACTATAATCTACTGAATCAGTAAATTATAGTACTTTAAATTAAAGAATATTAGATGTTATCCTATTTTTTGGTGAACGTGGATTGGCTTTTCGAGGATCCTCCCAGCGAATTGGAGATGTAGATAATGGCAACTTTTTGGGTCTTATAAAGTTACTTTTACATTGGGACCCTATACTTAAAGAGCATGTGTTGTCAGTGGAAGAATCTCAGCGAAAAGGCAAATGACTTCAAGTTCATTATCTATCAGCTGATACTCAAAATGAATTCATTGCAGAATGCTCAGATTTGGTGCGACAGCATATTTTACAAGAAAGAAGATCTGCTAAGTATTTCGCAATAATGGTCGATGCAACACCAGATTCGTCACATACAGAACAAACAACATTCATATTACAATATATAATATTAAAAGATTCACAATATGAAATTGTTGAACGATTTCTAACGTGCAAATGTAGAAATTTGCAATGTAGATTGCAACAATAAAATTGGGGATGAAATATCTCAAATGATAGTGGAAACATTTCAACATAACTCCATTCCTCTCTCAGATTGCATGGCACAAGCATATGACAATGGATCAAATATGGCTGGAAAATACAATGGTGTGCAAGCCAAAATACTTCAGTTATGTCCATTAGCACTATTTTCTCCTTGTGGGTGTCACACACTTAATCTTGTGGGAAACGATGCGGCAGAATGTATTCCTAAAGCTGTAACATTTTTTGGAACGATTCAAACAGTATATAATTTGTTCAGCTCAATCCAACACGATGGGAGATATTATCAAAACACATCAATTGCTCACTAAAAGGAATGTCACATACAAGGTGGTCAGATCGTGTTGAAAGTGTCAAACCTTTTGCACAACTTCCTGGGATTAAATTGTCATTGGAAGAGCTTTTAGAAATAAATTTGATTTCTAAAACAAGAGCTGAAGTACAAGGTGCCTTATATTATATTAATTCATTTTCCTGCATAATAATGTCATCGATATGGTGTAAAATTCTTGTTCCGATTGATTTTTGCAACAAAATTATTCAAGCAAGAAATGCAACTTTAGATGTGGAAGTGGACAACATAAACCACTTACTGAGACAACTTCCTGAGCTTCGGAGTAAATGAAAAGATATCTGGTCAGAATCAAAGAATGTTGCAATGAATTTGGATATAGAAGTCAAACAATCAAGAGGACGTGGTGGTGCAAATCTCAAAAGAGCCAGAGTTGTTGGCGAGCCAGAGGATCGAGGGTTTACAGATTTAAATGAAGGTGAGACCATGGAGGAACCATGCTTTAGAAGATTTGTTTTCTATGTGGTATTAGATAGTGTTATTGGTGGCCTTGCTGTAAGATTCAAAGCAGCACAGAGCATTTCAGATAAGTTTAGCTTCATGTGGAATTATCTCAATATTGATTTGGATACATTGGAAATAAAAGCAAAATTGTTAAGTGAAGAGTATTCAGCAGATATTAGCGAAGATATTGTAATGGAAATAAAACAGTTAAAATCTATACATTATGCAAATTTTGGATCAAATCAATTAAGCCCCTTTGAACTCCTAAATTCGATTAGTCGAACTAATTTACATGGCCTATTTCCAAATATTTGTGCATGCTTGAGAATATTCTTAACAATTCCTGCTACAGATGCATCCGCTGAACGCTCATTCAGCAAACTAAAACTGATTAAAAACTTTTTAAGAACTACAATGCTACAAGGACGGTTAGTGGATTTGGCAATGTTGAGTCTCGAATCTTCAATATCTAGGTCAATTGATTTTGACAAAGTTATTCAAAATTTCGCTTCAAAAAAAGCAAGAAAAGCACCTTTGTTTTGTAAATGAACTATTCTAGGAATAAACTATTTGTTAAAATTCTGTTTTTATAAGTACTTGTATTTTTGTTGAGATTGATTATTGTATTATTGAACATGGTTGAAACGTAACAAATAGTCTGAATTTTTATTTCAGAAATATCCTTTAATCCAATAATTAAAGAAAAACTAATTACATAAAAAAACAAAACAATAATTCAAAACAGTTAATAATTATTCTTTAAATTAATATTCTTTAGTAAATGAAATAATTGTTGCTAGAAATAAAACTGTAAAGCAAGATTGCATTCTCATTGTGAACAATTGCCGATTTCAAAAACCAATGTGGAATTAAACCACAATTGATTCAGCAAAAGCATAGAGTAACAGTTTAAAATATTAGAATTATGGGTAAAGGGCCAAAAAATATCTCTTGCACCGTCTAAAATTATGGCTTCTCTGCGGGGCTGGTGATAAAGCACAATAACTGTTAGAGGACCTAATGCATAATGGAATAAGATAATCAGTAATGATATTAAAACACTTAAAACTCTTGATCAGTTTAAACAAAAACTAAAACTATTACTTTTAAATAATGAACAAACAGATAATTATTTTTAAATCTATCTATAAAAATATTATATTTTAAAACTATCTACTAATGCATACTTTATTTGTCTGGAAGGTCTAAATTCTTTAATTTTATATAGGTATTACAGTCTGTTATATTATAAAAAAAAGTACTTATAAAGATTTTTAGCATTTTTAGATTTCATTAGTTTAAATAAATTTATTAGTTTTCTTAAATAAGAGAGAGAGAGGAAAAATAAAAAAAGTAATCTTTTTTGAGTTTTAATTTTTTATATTAATATTTTGTAATTTGTTTTTGAGGAATTAATATATTACACTTTATAAGAACAGATTGTAAATTAAATTTTACGTTTACTTTTTTCATGTTTTTTAGTTTTTTGATATTTTTGTTTTTCTGAATGAACTTTTAAATTTTTCTTTCAAAAAATAAAATCGAAAAAATATCTTTCAAAACTTTGAACTATTAAACTATTTGGCATTTTATATAAACTTCTTTGTAATATTTTGCTTTTTTCTTAATTTTTTAATTTTCATTTTAGTTACCATGTATTTATATAAATGTCTTGACAAACAAGGGACTTGGTGATAAGACAACCCCGTCTTCTTCTCGTCCTTGCCATTTTTAAATATTTTAAATTACGGAACTTGTAAATATTTGTACGGCTAAATTATAAAAAAAAAAAAAAAAAAAAAAAAAAAAAAAAAAAAAGCAAATCTGTCTTCTTCTCGTCCTTGCCATTTATATATATATTCTCTCACTTTTAATTTTAGTTTCAACGTATTTATATAAATGTATGTTTATGTGTGCAGAGCCATTTCCAAAGCAAGAACAATAAACCAGACAGTCTTTTAAAACAAGTTAAAAATAAAATTTTCACACTTAAATAATTGATGTTAATAATATTTGATGAATAATACTTTTTTCAAAAAAAAAAAAAAATAAAGTAAAAAGCTTTTGATAATCGCAGCAGCCGCTGAGTTTAATGTATTATAGAGAATGCATAAGGGTGATTCAAATAAATACAATTTTTAGTT